GACGTGCTGGGTGCCGTTTCCTGGTCCTGCGAACCAGTCTGATTGAGGGTTTTGCAGGGTGCTGCTTTGGGATGGAGGGAGATGTCCAAGATTCTTGGCAATTTTCACGTTGCCAGTGGGCAGGATGCTGTTGCTCTTGTACTGGGTGTTGAAGAGTGCAGATCAAGGCGCCGTCTGCCATCCGCTTAACCGTTTGTTGCCTATTGACTACCCATGCGTTGACTGGTTCCTTTGCTTTGGACTGGGGTGCATGCGCCAGGGACCGGGCAGCAAAAAGGCGCCATCCGGCGCTTGCACCGGGACAGGGAAAGTCATGTCGTCATCGTGCGTTTGGGACCTGCCCCCCAGGATTGGTCCAAACGAAGTTGGCCTTCCATCCATGTGTTTCGAGCAAATTGCTTCAGCCACAGAAGTTCTGCTCATTCTCTTGGGATTTGGGGCTCTACTTCTGCAAGTGCGGACTTGGCGCCAAAATGTGCGTCAGGCGCCAAGGGGGAGTCGCATCGATTGGAAAGAGCTCAAGAACAGGCGTGGGAAACTCACGGACTTGCTTCAGTTGTATTGGCTGATGGTTGTGGAGTTTGTCTAGCCCAAGCGGCAGGGGCCAGTCAGGGGAATGTTTTCATGCCTTCTAGAGATTGATCACTTATTTGCCAATGACCTTGGCAAGGCTTGCATGCACAATCAGGCGGCTTTGTGGAGGTTTGAAAGATGCTGTCACGCTTGGAACTTGCAGACATTGGAGTCTCCTTTCAAAGTCGGCAACTGGGGAACGTGTGTAGCTATGTCGCTTGCGCAGGCACAGGAAGACGCTGAAGGAGCCAATAGTCGTGCGGATTCAGGTCTAATCCGAGCACGTATCAGAGGGTCAGTCAGTTCACAGGTGCTTCTGGAACAGGGAAACAGCTGCAGACATTTGGTGTCAAGTGGGGTCCGTGGGTTGTGCTATATTATATATATTGGAGCCGCGACGCCTGTGAAAATGCTGATTTTTGTTGCAGCTGCAAATCGTTCCTCTTGTTTGCCAAGATTCTGCGTGACTTATATTGGGCCGTATGCTCAAACATGTTGAGGTCTACAAAACTGGAAAGTGCCCGCTGGCAATATGCGTGTTGCCAGCCTGCGACTCTGCAATGCGGTGTAGATGTTGCCGCATTTGCTGCACCCACCCGCCTGCATTGTTGTTGTGGGATTTTGGGTGACTTCTGTTGGGGTGTACTTTGTAAACGGTTGTGATGATGCCCACTTGCATGGTGGGCCTCTGCAGAGCTCTCCAGGATCTTAGAACGAGACACAAGACGCGAATCGTTTTTTTCAGGAGTGTCCTTGCCAAGTTCCCCAAAACCAATGGGTTGCAAACCAGATTGCTGTTTTGCTTTCTAAGTTGGACGAACACGCAAGGACGGCACAAGGGCCGCTTTGTTGGTGTTTACGGATATTCCAGGACCGATTGGAGCGGAGCGCCATCCTGGAGGACGGGGGGAGGTTCCAATGTGAGGTTGTAATCATGGCTAGTGGGATAGCTGGGTTCAGTCCCCCTTTTGACCATGGATGTAATCCAGCGTGTTGAACATCCACGTTGGCGCGGCTTGGCAAGGCCCTTGTGATTTCACGACAGGCCTGGGGAATATGACCTGAGGGATTGCCGGCGAGCCATGTTGACTTCCAGTTAGTTTCAAGCTAGGAGATCTTTTCCGCCCTTTCGGGTGTTTGGGAAATTGATTCGCAGCCGGGAATGAATGAAGCAATCTTCGCCCAGAGAAGGGCCACAGACTCGTCAGAACATGTCCCAGCTTTTTCCACTTTCGCGTAAGCAACCATTCAAGTGCTGCTTCCCGCCTTCACACGTGCCAGAGCATGCCAGAGCATGCAAGAGCAATGAACATCGAATTACACCCGCAGTAGTTGGACTAGTGCAGGGGAGTTTTTGCTGTTAATTAGTTGGACAGACGGGACCATTAGAGTGACATGCTCAAAATGACCCTATGGGTGGTTTGAAGGGAAACACCCAATCTCAGAACGCCTCAATCTGCAACCACTTTGAAATCAAGCGTGCTTTGGAAGGAAATGGCCCTCGCAGAGGCCAGGATCTGTGGGTGCCTGAAAAGAGGCAGCGAATCCCCCAGGTCTGAAGGGGTCTCCCAGGCCCAGGAAACAAGGAATCCAACCACCCACAAATGGGTGGTTTTCCTTTTGGTGCCCCTCTAAACCAACCCTACAAAGGGGGTTTATTAGTCCGCGGTCTACTTATTGGCCGACTCCTTTGCGTCGACAATTCAATTTATGTTCATTTGTGCAGGCATCAGCCGGCTGTTTGCGCATGTGAATGCTTTGGGAAGTCGCAACGGATTTCGTTCCTCGAACCTTTGCTTTGCCAGGGGCGCAATCGGCACGAGGCGCGGATTTTCTTGCTTTGAGTGGTGGTTGGCTTGGAGCTTTTCAGGTGCATTCCGCTGTTTCAAGCTTGAGCGTTTGATTCACTTCACCTGGCTTTGAGCATGTCGCTTTAAAATTGAAAGGGCTGTTTGTGGTTGCTTCAGGAGAGACCTTGCCAACTGAACAAACTGAGAGACTTCGCTTGGCCAGCAAACCAAATTGGACGTAGCTCCTTGCTGACTCATCGCTGGGTTCTCAGAATCAGCCTGGCCCGCAACAGGAACCCGCAGAGGAGGCTCGTTGTCCGCGTAGTTTGCTTCGGGTGAGGTTCAAGGGCATGTGGAACATGCAGTTTCAAGGTGAGAAATCCGATCCCTTTGGGTACTGTGGGTGAGCTTGATTTGAACGAACCATGCCAGAGCCAGACCGTAACGTGCAGTTTTCAAAGTTCTTGAGACCTCCCAGCCCTTGATCTCGCCCAGTTCTAGCATTGCATAGTCAACGTGGAATCAATCGACCCTAAAGTTGAAAGGCCATAGTTGCGTGAAGAGTGGCTCCTGTACCTGGCTGTGGCTCAAATTCATGTACCAAAATGGGACCTTGGCAAATGGAACCATAACAAGAACCTGGGCAACCTCAGCTCTTTAATCGTGAGCCACACCCACCTGTTGCATGCGGTCGCTTCGAATCGAGCAGGTCCCGAAGGGCACCGTCTTCAAAGCCGGCAGGTGGGGCGGGGCGTTCCCCCCCACTTTGGGGGCCCATGGGAGCGAGACCGCCGTGAGGTTGGTGAATGCGGAGAAGAAGAGGCGCGATCGAAGCCATTGGGCTTCAAAGGTCCCATGCCCCCGGTTTTGTCTAAAAGTAGGAATCGGAGTTGCCTGCCTTTGGTTTCCCTTGAAACCATCCTTTTGGTACCTTGAAGAAAGACAGCATGCCAAAGCTCCGCGTTGCGAATGAACAAGCTTGGGGTTCGGAAGAATCAACCGAGCTATTTGGGCTTGACACGGTGCAGAGTGATGTGTCGCTGTGTCGCTCGGTGGTTGGCACTGAAATGACCATGCTGCAACAGTGTATCTTTCTTTTGATTCTGGGCTGAGCACACCGCATTTGGGGCGAGTCTCGCCCGCGCTCTCGCGCGGAAGCGAGGAATGTCGCCTTCAAGGACATTGTCCTCAGATCGCACCGTGTCCAGCGCGTCCAGAGGCTGGGCCCTGCACGCGCTTGGCAAATTGGATTAGCTCACCGATGGGCCATGCGAATGTGTGCAGTGCCTGGCCATTCTGGGCGAGTAACGAGCTCAACCAGGGGTGAATGAGCGTTCCGGGCCCTTTTGTTCCGGGTTCCTGACTTCAGGTTTGTGGAAATCATGGTAGTTTGCCCAGATTTATGTACCATACCCTTTTGTCACGATATGTGCGCGACCCGCTTATAGCAGAGTTCAGCTCCTTACCATCTCTTACTGGGGATCTGACAGACAATGGCCACGCCAGTCTTGTTTGAAAATTGACTTGCCCCTTCGTTTGGGCAGGGTGCTGCATTCCATCAAACATGTCATGTTCAGACGATTGACCCACGCAGTCCCCCAAAACACCACATGCCGGCTTTATGGGTTACATTTGGAAGCGGATCGCCTTTGAGGCTGAACCACATGAGGAAGCAGATGTACAGAGCCCCGTGGCTGAATTCCGATACTCACTTCCAACGGTTTCTCAACGGGATCGTCGTCTGCGGGCCAGGTTGTAGGTGGCCACCCTACGGGATTGAGGACGCATCCAGAAATTAGCTAAAGTTTTATTTGGGCTGGAATCAACAATGAGCTGTGTTTGTTGTTGTGGGAAAATTGGTTCTGCCGGTTGCGCCGTACTGATTGGGGGTGGCCCTCTCAAGTAGTTTTTTCTTCGGTTCCCCTTTGAATACGAACCAAAAGGGTAGCGGCAGCAAAAACAGACACACCCAAATAGGGATCCCCCCAAACGGCAAGGGTTTCCTTTAGGCTTCCAATTGAACAATCAAAAGGGCTTCCACCATTTTGAGAAACTCCTACAAATAGACAAGCAAGCAAGCAAGCAATCAAGCAATCAAGCAAGGAAGCAAGCAAACAAGCAAACAAAACAGATGACGTGCTAAGTGTTGTTGGATGATGAGCTTTCAATCTCGCAGCTGGGCAATGTGCCCCATTATTTGTGTTCACGCGTCCACCTCCATGGTACTCGTTGGACAACTCGGCCACCAATGAGAACTGCCTATGCTATGCTAAGCTCACCGATTCAGGGGTAATTCAGGCTTACCATGGTTGGGATCCTGTATTTCAGGTTTGACATTATTGTTGCAGATGTGAAGCTTGCATCCTTGTGCTGTGCCCAAAAACGCTGCTCAAGCTTGGGAATGAAAGAAGCAAGCCCTGACGCATGCAAAACATTTTAGCTCTTGCTTCCAGCAATGGCTGAGGGAGACGACGAGGACCCGCGACGTGGGTTGATTCGTTGGAGCATGGCGGGAGTCCCGTTCAAAAGTTTGTCCATTCACAGTGGTCAATTCCCTGCCTCCCACCAGAATGGTTCTCCGAGCCCTTTCAAGGTGGGGCGGGCGGGGGCGTGCCCTAGGTTTTGCCCCGAAAAACGATGGGTTTCAGTGTCTCGAGCGCGGCCACTGCGCCGCCCAGCCGTGTCTTACGGGCCTGCGCCTGTGTCGAAGGCGCGACGGGCGGGCGGCTGCCCTTTCAGTTGTCCCTCTGCTGGGGAGTAGCCTCGTTTCCTCAAAGCAGCAGCCGCTTCTGCAGGCAGTTGCATGCGCATCTCCGTGGGCTTTTTGGACAGGTGGAGACATGTTTTAGTCAACACTTGAGTTTAGCTCTTGCAGCCAGTGCAGGTGTCAAGCAACAGCACAAGCTCTTTTCAGACCGCGCCCCAAGCGGTTCTTGGGTGATTTGTACTTGGATGTGCAGCACATAAGTGGCCACTAACCTAGGTTTTAAGCCATTCATGACAGGGCTACCCGCACTTGAGGGACATATCAGATATCAGTTATGACGACTGATCGGCTCCCAGAACGGCTGCCCCTTGGGTGCGATGGCAAGTTTTTGCTGAGTACCGGCCACCGAAATTTACGCCAGAAAGTCAAACAACGCGCTTGGTCGCACGGAAGATGCTCGCAGATAAACACATCTTGGAGACTCATCTTTAACATAACATGCCCAAGGAAGCAAAGACAGCATCGACTTCCAGTAGCAGTACGCAAGCAGAATGCTGAGCTCTATTACCTTCCTCTGAAAGTACCTTCCAACGTGATCAGGCATCCGATGAACTCGCGCATGGCTGTTCCAAAGTATCAGCTTCACTCGGGATACGAAGTGCAGCCAACACCCAAAACCACAGACCTCCAGACTGCCAACATCGCTGCCGACAGTGAACGGTACGCATTGTGACAAGACACCACTGCAAAGGTAGAGCGCTTTTACTGCAAAGGTGCCGGAAGCGCACCACATAAGCAGATTGCTGCCAAGAGCTTGCCAAGAGGCGACATGGTATCATCAAGATGCTTAAGAGTCTGTTACAATCGATGGATGGAGGTCACATCTCCGGGTCCGTCCCCGAGTTACCGCTTCCTTGAGAGATTAGTTGGATTTTGGGGTTGCGGTTGTAGCCCCCAACGCTTGCTGCGGCCCACCTAGGTTACGAACGAAGTTGGTGGGACAGTTGCTTGAACTTTGCTACGTGTATCGAAGACTTGCAATCGAGCAGATGCTTCGATCTTTTCTGCCCTGATAAAGAAAGCACCACACGGGTCAGAGTCTCACTTGAATTGAACTTCCTGCCCACGCTTTGCCTTTTTCTCCCATTCCTCACCCCATTTCCATCAGCTGGGGTCAGCTGTTGCCGGTGCAACTCCCACTCAGACGGCAGGCTGCCCCATGGCTCTGGCGAGGAGAGCAGCATCTAGGCAGGATGCACATGGCGCGTGGCGACGACAATTCCGGATCAGAGGATCCGTTGGTTCTCTTTGCAGCGCTGAAACCTCGAGCGCGCGCGCCGGAGCGCGCTCGGTGCCGGGCCAGGCTGCTGCAGGGCCCATTGCGCTGTGGCGAGGCTGGGTTCCATCGGCCTGAGCCAGTCCCAGCTTGTTCAGGAAGTCTAGGAAGTGAACAGGCAACGTGTGGATTTCTGTTGCGATCCAGGTCTCCTGCGTTAGTGGCCAATTCGACCCTGATGATGGCATACCTTCCTCCATGCGTTGAGACGTACAGAAGCCAGGGCTCTTGAAACCGCGGGGTGGTTTCCACAGATCTTGCGCAAGTCCCCTTGAGTGAAGCCGGCGACATGGCTGTCAGGAAGCTAGCCGAATTGAGAGTCAACTTTAATGTGAGTTTGTACTTTGGTAAAAGTTTTTGTTTTGGGGGGGGGGTATGGCAAAATACCGGGATTTGGGTTTTTGACCCTTTGAACCAGGTACTTGGGGGTTTCTTAAAGTAGGCGTACCCCAAATGCTTGGTTTCCGTTTGGGTGTCCGAAATCCATTTTTGAGAACAGGCGCATCGCCATCTGCTGCCGGCCTCTGCGGTGGCTGCAGGCATTCGGGTGTCTGAAAGTCAACCCCAAAATGATGGGTTTATCCTTTACCATTTTCAGGGTACCCTCATAGTGTTTCTTTAGACCTTCCCATGTTTCACCGTTTTTCCGATTTTGTGTTTCTTTAAACCTTCCCGTGCTTTAACGTTTTTTTCTCCTTCAGCGTTTCTTTTATATAAACCCTCCCATCAAAGGGCGTACCCTCAACAAAAATAACATATGCACATGCCACGCAATGGAATTCCCAACCCTGAAGAAAGGCGGTCCCAAGTAAGGAACCTGCCTCCTCTGTGATTTGCCCTGCCCTGCTGGCTTCAAGGTCTATGCTTGGCGCTGACCATGCCCACACGCAAGACCACGGGCTGCTTGGCTGCCTAGGGCCACTTTGATTTGATATGCAGTAAATATGAGCACATGTGTATGTGTATGCATATGTGCAAGCAGCCTCAGTGCGTTGCACACATGATATGTGTGTAATATCACCATTGGTTCAATGCCAACCGCCAATTTCTCGGCATAAGAGAGCTACCCTTGTTGTGCTGACGCACCGCAGGTC